ACACAGGTTAAAAGATTTGGGCAAGACCACAGAAAAAGTTAGTACCAGATCTATCAGAAAACTTTTGGCATTTCATGTTGCACCATATGTCAATATCTGTTGTTATTTCTTAGACACGTTGCTGACAATGCATCTTGGCAGAAAGATTTTAAATGTCGATACCAAGCAATTAAAGTGCTTAGCAGATGGGAAGCACACTACTAGTCTGGGCATGAATGAGCCACAGAACAAGCCAAAAGGCAGGGTAAACCTGCATGTTATTTTGATCCTCATGAATTATTACAGCACTCAGCAAGGCACTGAAAAATACCATTGCTCTTCTTTCTTTCTGTGTCTGTTTCTGGTTGGTCTGAATTTTTCTCGCTTAGTTTTGATTTCTGTTAACAGATGACCTTGCACCTTGCTCAACTTCATCTGTTACTCTACCAGAATCCAAAACCAGCAGAATAAGCTTCACTAAAATCAATGAGAAAAGTGACACTAACAAAGACGTCAATATATTTTTAGAGCAAGTTCACAGGAGTATCTACTGTTGGCAGAAGCCATCTTCTGTCAACATCTTCAAGCCCTGCAAACCTGTGATGAATGTGTTTGCCTTGCTTTTATTAATGGCTAATCAGAATCATAGCATCAAACTCTCCTGAAAGAAAGAAAGAAGTAATGAAAAACAGTGGTCCTCATTTTTTTATAGTTTAATTTTTCGCTGGGTTATCTTTTTTTGGAAACAGCTGGGTTCTAGGTGGTGAATATAGCCAAGATTTGGCTGAACCCTGTGGTTCTAAGAGAACCTGTGACCGTTTATAAGTCCCTCCAGCAGCACTTGTTGTAGCAGGGGCTGCTTCAGCAGTTGCCAAAGGCTCTCTCTGCATCTGGCCTGACCCGAGCCCAGTTTGGGTTCCTGCATAGTTCAGTGAACAGAGAAGCACAGGAGGCTCCACCAAGCTTGAGGCGCTCCCAAGCTATGGCCTACCTGCATTTGTGTACAGCATCCATCTGACTTCCTAGAAACATTCAATATTGCTGATTAATTTGGTATTACGCTAAACGGATTACCCTTGGCTTCAAGCAATTGAAATACGTAAGTAGATTGTCAGGAAGGGAGAGCAATTTTTTAGTGAAATGAACGGATTAAAAAGGTAAGACAAAGGTCTCTGCTCAATCAGTTCTAATCTTTGACGGCAAGCCCTGGGAAATATAGGTCAGTATGTTTAGGGTTAAATAATTCAACGGTGCAGAGATTGAAAAGAATTTGAAAATTAAAACATCTATATATCTAACTTAAAATTTGAGGCCGTGATTGGGATTTTCAAAACAGTTTTGGAACCAAATAATTCTCTCATACTTTTCCAGCTTTATTCGCACTGCCCTATCATGTTGTTTCCAGTTATGGTGAAGAGCATTACGCACATGCACACATACCCTCAGCCCTGACGAAACTGGAGTTGATTATAAGCGTTTAGTATCTGAACCTCTCCCAAATCATTTTTGCAGCCAAAAGGCTGTAATTTTAGGTGTATCTGACAAGTATACAAAACCAAGCGGAAAGCTTACACTGGATAAACTATTACTTTTAGTCATATTGTAAGGCCCTATCTCTGCAGCACAAAAAGGTTCACCCCACCGTAGGCACTGCATTGCATAAGGTCTCCTGGAAACACAATGGTAAAGGAAAAGATTAAAAAAAGAATCAATGGTTGCCAGCAGCAAAAGGGCACAATCAACAGGAAAAAAGAATCCATTTCTTGGAGGCTACTACAAACAGCTTGCAGTAATTAAAAACAACTCTGAACTGTTGACAACTACGTAAGATGTTGTTTTCCAGCCAGAGGTAGAATTAATTGTGCTGCTCTAGATTGTCTTTATTGACTTTTTTTTCCCCTTGTTAGTCAAAAAGAACTAACAAAACAACTATTGGCTTTACTTTTGAACCTGCCTCTAATTTAAAAATAAATAATTTTTAAAAAGATTTGTAGAAGGGAAGCAATAAAATTACTTGAGGCAAAATGCTGCAAAAATCAGGTCCTAACTTATGAAGACCCTTCACGGCCTATTTGCGCATGCCGTGAAGACGATCAAAATTAATCAAGCTCTGTGCAACGTACACAGAGATTCGATCCCTCGTCATTTATTCATTCGCTTTACCGCTCGTTTTCTAGCTTTGCATCTTAAATAACCTCAACACGTAAATGCTCTCACACAGTCTTGGTCAGGATCATCCAGGGGCTCTCACACCTTTCGCTAGTGACTAACTTGCTTTTGCACTACTAGTCTCATCCCTACCGAAAAGTTTGTAGGATTGAGAGCTAAGGACTTCATCATGAGCAGGACACTGTCTCCAGGCCCAAGATTGGGATTTTGGGAAGCTCTCCTATCACATATACGCTATGTGTGTATTCTGTCAGAGGGGTGTGGGGGGCTGCTCTTAACCGTACATTTATATTTAAAGCCACTCATTGAAATGGCTGCAGCTGGCAAGCGCTTTGGTAAGGCAGTGGTTTTCTAGCACTCTCTTAAAGTACTTCTGGGAACATTTTAATGGAGGTACAAGATGAATCTTTATTTAAGCACATGCTCTTTTGCTGTCACCTGGGCACCACTTGCAAAATGCACTTCTCAGGACTACATCCTTCTTCCCCTTTGTGCACTTTGAGGCCGGCGGTTTAAAAACGGGATTTCAAGCGAGACTGACAACTCGGTGCAGGGATTTCCCTTCCGGTCGAGCCGAACGCACGAGGAAAGACTGCGCATCTGCTCCTCCCTGCGCTAGGCGCTTGCTGAGCGCGCGCACATAACGGGGAGAAGCGCTCCAAGACGCCCGGGCACATAACGGGGAGAAGCGCTCCAAGACGCCCGGGCACGTAACGGGGCGGCTCCCCGCCCGCAGGTAACGGCCGCGGCCCAACGGCTCCAACTGCCGCCTGCCCAGCCTTAGCCCCAGCTCGGCAGCCCGCTCTCGTGTAGGTGCTCGGCGTCTTCTCTCGAGCTCGTCCTGCTCTTTGAACCGGCTTCCTCTTCCTTGTGTGTTTTAACTGCCTCCTCGCAAAGCAGGGTCTCAGCCGGGGCCGGTGTCTCCCCCATTTTTCCAGCCCCTTCCCGCCTCCCTCGCGTGCCTGCCGTGCTTTGACATTGTTGCCTTGCCCGAAGGGGTCTACCGTACAGAAGGAAGGAGCAGCTTCTGGCATAAAACAAATAAGGAATAATAAAATGGGTAATAAAAAGTCCTTGGTAATTCCGTGTTGCATTGAATAATCTTCAGATTATGGAAGGGGAGAAATGAGGTTCTCCTAAATAATTCTGTGCACCTGCCCTTGGAATCCTGTGTTCCATTTTGCATTTCTTATTACTAGAAATAAGATAAGTTTTAGAGATTAGCAACAAAAAAATTGAGGCACTGGCATGACCTACATAAATTAAAAATGTTTAAAAGAGCCTGCTTGATGAAAAGCAGAGAAAGTAAAATTTCTGTAATGCAATTTAGTAACTTTGAAATGGTGCAGGCATTGGAAACTATACGTGTTCATATATGATATATATTGAAGGACTGTAACTGCCACTGGTTATGGTGGGTATACAGTTTAAGTGATCTAAGAGTGATCTAAAAGTTATTTCTACTAGTAAGGGTGTTATCATGTAAGAACGGAGCAGGGCTGTTCTCTTACACACTTTCTTTGTGCAGGGCTTTTAACTACTGCAACTCTACATGAAAAATTGTGAATCTGACTGGGGTAACTAGCTTGCTACAACATTCAAATTTATAGATCAACAACTGAGACTCTATGGAGGGTAGGAATTGCTGATGTAAAGAAACAATATTTTAAAAAGGAAGATTGTGGTGAAGATGAGGAAAGAAAACTTCTCAAAGTAGATTCTTTTATGCAGTATTTTCTAGTGTAATGAGAAAATCAGGTAAAATCAATAAACATTTTAATGAAATCTATCCCAAGCTTAACAAACAAATTTATTTTTCTCACCTTTGAGTGGTTTTATTTAAGAATACATAATCTGGAGCAAGTGAAAAGAATGTTTTTGGCTGACTTATTACTTGAAAAAGAGTTGGATCTCTTCAGAATTGATCTTGCTTGGCCTGTTAAATGTTAGTGATGTACTTACAGGCGTTCCTTATAATTCTTGCAGGAAAATACATTGACAGGGTAACACTTAGCAAAATTTAGAATATCCTCTGGTACCATTTGAAACCTAATAATTATAGTAATCCATCTCCATCTCTGTACAGCCTTGACAGATTTGGTAGTTTTATATGCTAATTTTAGCCAACTTCCGCTTCTTCCTATTTTCGTTCTGAATTGTTAGTAAAACTCTGTGAGCCACCTTCTGCTGTTCCGTTGGCCCAATTTCTTGAACCTTCTGATTGACTAATTTTCTTGTTTGGGGAGACTGAATGCAAGAATTGCATCCTATCAGAGAAGAAATCTAACAGACTTTGAGCATAATCTGACAGATGCAAACATTATCTAACATATTTGCTCACTTTTGTTGTCGTATGCAAGGACCACAGATAGTTCTCTCAACTAAAAACTAAATGTTCTTATAATTTTAACACACAGAATGCAGGTAATAGGGAAAACAGCTACATAATCTAAACCAAAGTAAAATGTGCATCGTAGCCACTGAGTTGCTATACAGTCGTAATAACAACTGAATTCCAGTTATATGTTATAGATTGAAGTATATTTTTTGTCTTTTTCAGAACACACATCATGGCCCTAAGAATGCAGTCCATTTGTCAGAGGGTTGGCACTTGTTCCTCGTGTTTGAATAGACAACTAAGTGGCTTCCTGGGAGTAGTTAAATGGGAGACACGTCTGGTTCCTGCATCCATCAGAACAATCTACAGTGAGACAGGGAAATGGGAAAAAAAATACGGGTTGGAGACGAGGAAAAGAGTTGAAAATTGGTGGTTCCCAAGAATAAAAGATCAGTTCTGCAAAATTTCCGAAATTGATGTAAGCATCATGAGAGATTTGGAAATTGCATGTTTGCTTTTTTTGTTTTCTCAAGCAGAAATATATTGGAAACCATGTAACAAAGTTGACTTAAAGTGTCAAACTTTATAATGCACTATAGAGAAAAAGATTCTTATGTTGTAGTAGGACATTAAAAACAATTTAAATGTGCTTAAAATGAAAAAAAAAAGCTTAAGGAAAGGCATACTTAGCAGAAAGGAATCAACTTGTAAATTTAGAAAGTATTTTATTTATTATTTATTTATTCCAATATTATACCATACTTGAGAAATTAATTATATAAAGTAATATAAAGTTCTTTTGCATTCAAAAATGTTGTAAATAATTAACTTTCTAAACAGCTTGTTTCCAGTGATTATGACGAAATCCATTATGCTTCACATGGTGTCATTCTCTAAAATCTTATGTTAAGGAAAGGTAGCACTTTAAGATTTTTTCCTGTTTTACAGCATCTTAGGCAAAGCAAGAAAAGGTCTTTTCCCACACAATAAAGAACTTTGAAGCAATTGCAGTCTCTGTCTTCTCCCTTCATACTTAGGCTCAGTCACATAGGTACAAAATCTTTTCCCACCCCCCTTCTTGTTTGCTTTTCTTCTTTCCTTAAATGTGCTGTCTCCAACAGAAAATAAATTCTATCAAATTGTCAGAGAGAGGGGGCTTGTTTTTTCTGAGGGAAAATAAAAGAAGAGATGAAAATTGTGTGTATGCACACACATAGCAGGGAAAGCATTAGTTTAAGCCTGTGTTCTTTCTTACTGTCCAGCAACAACATTATATATTCATACATATTTGTCATATATGTACCGTTTGCTTAATTCCAAAACATATTTTTAATGCTGATTTTTTAAAAAATTTTTCCTTACAATTAAAATAAAATTAACTAAGTTGCAAGTAGTACAGAGCATTCAGATAAGTATTTAAATTACTCCAAGCCTTGCTATTGTACAATTTTTTTTTAATTAATGTGAATACAGGGTATGATTCATAATAATAAAAACTGCCTTTTTTGCATTATTAACATGATTAATGAAAGAACTTAGATATCAAAGATAAACTCAATGATAACTAAAAAGAAGTGAATTCTTTTTCAGTTTCTTTACACCTACCTAAATGAAGATGTTCGTTTTCTTTTCACTATGCAAGATACTGTCTTGCAAGATAGTGCAGATACCGTGCTCATATCTAACGTGCATCGTGGAACTGAACAGTTTCACTTTGCTGGGTGTTGATGTAATTACAAACGATGGAGTTTGTCATTCAGGGAGTTACCACAGTTCAGCTGACCAAAAGCAACTGGACATGGGTGAGCCACTTGTTCACTGTAAATGCAAAGTAAAGCATCTAAATAGTGAAGAGGATCCTTTAATCTGTGGTGTTTTTCTTTGTTGCTGGGAAAGATAAGGATTGCACAGTCAGTTACTGCTGATCTGGGAAAGAATAGTGACTTTTTAGGCTATTTATGTATCATTAGCTAGATAAGTTGATTAAAAACATTTTTGAGTGTCATATAAATGTGAGTATAAACTGAAGAGACAGGAGCAAGGTCTGGTAAAAGATATCCATTTACATCCCCAAATAATTCAATACTAGGCACATCTTCAGTGCTCACTCGGATCAGTACTGTCAGAATTTTGTTTCACCTGCTGGTACTGTATAGTTTGTAATGTGCACATGTATATATTCAAATTCAATGCTAATTCATGTGGTTTTAACTTTATAAAAATTCCTTTCTAGAAATCAAGACCAAAATTTTACGTGCTTTCTATGTTCCCCTATCCTTCTGGAAAGCTTCACATGGGCCATGTTCGTGTCTACACCATCAGTGATGTGGTAGCTCGGTTTCAGAAAATGAGAGGAATGCAGGTAAGAAAAGAACTGCAATAGGATTCTTATCTTGGTATTTTAATTTCACAGTTGGGCAGGGAATTAGTGTTTCCTAAAATTTGCAGATGGAAACTTAGATTTCAATATGTGCTACAGATGCCTAGCACAATGACTTGTGGAGCTTGTGAATTTGAGACTTTTTTAAAAGACATAATCTTTATAACTCAGAGTTGCTGGCCTTTACAAGCTGTGTGAAATGTGACCCCTGCTGTATCAGCCACCTGAATGTCAATGAGAGTTACAGACCACACCACTTCTACAAGAGGAGATACCCTAATACCATCTGGGCAGGAAATTTTCATGTGATAGAAGAAAAATATAATATGCCGTAGCTGCTGGCATAAAACAGAGGTTGCTCTAGCCACATTCCACCGCCGCTGTTCCCAAGAGCACGTTGCTGTCCTTGGCCATGCTTGGAGGGACTTGCTGCCTCTCTGTGAGGGGATCCCTGTGTCGCTAGGCTGCAAGTCAGATGAAATGGGGCACCTCACATGGGAATAGCTGTGGAAGTGTCTGTTTTGTAGGGGTTTAAGCCTTTGGCTTGCCTGTGTCAGCCTTGCTCATACACATGACACCCTGTTTCTTTGAGGGCATGAGTCTTTGGGGCTGGCTAAGACTAACTCCTCGCTGCCTTCTCAAGAAGTCTGTGTTCCCTGCTGCCTTCCTGCTTTTCGTACCCAAGGCCTCTTCTCATTGCTCCCTCATGCCCTTCTCCCTCCCTCTTGTGTATACAAGTTATAGTTGAGCCATGTCCTTGACAAGGGGAAGATAACTGGCTTCTTGCTGTCAGGAGTGGCTAAAAATACGTAAGGAAATAATCAAGTTGTGCAAGAATTGTGATGTCAGTGATTATCACGCTGAGGAAAAAACAGTGTTTGCTAGGGGGAAAAGTGGTAAGAATCTGGAAAGGAGCTGGAAAAAGTATGGAAAGAGAATATTTTAAAGCTGGAGCCAATAAAAAGAAAGAGGTCTAAGCAAGAATCTAGGAGGAGATTCAAGCAGGGAGTTGGACTAGATGACCTCTAGAGGTCCCTTCCAACCTTAAGCATTCTATGAATTCTATGAAAAACAAATTAAGAGGAAGACAGAACAGTTCAATAATCTTAAAAAAAATCAAATAAAGATGAAATTGAGAAGTAAATATTAGTTAGTGGTTCGTTAGCTAACCCTGCTTGTAGAGATTGGTTCGACTGTTAGACTAGGCGATCTCCAGAGGTCCCTTCCAATCTTAATCATTCTGTGATTCTGTTATGCTAGAAAGTGCTATTTTTTGACACAAATGCTCCCTACATGAAGATTTATTGCTATCCACGAGGCTTTTCAGGATATTGCCACTGGATTACTCAGTGTAACTACCTTTCCAGATACTCATTAGGTATGTTGTGTTCACCATTGACATAAAATACACAAAATTTGTACTGCTGTTTTACACATATGCATTTTTATGCTTTTGAAATTGCCAGAAAAGGGAATAACTGATTCTGCTTTTTCTCTTTGAAAGTGTATATATATTGTAATAGTAATCTATACTGACCTTTCTGATTAACAAGAATTTACATGCCATTGAAAATTGGGCTCACTGGGTTCTTGGTAAGACTTTAGATTGTTGCTTGAAGTTAAGACTGCTGTAGACTCCATTTTAACATGTAGGTTGGCTCCCATCAATAACAGTGGAGATACCTACTGAATTTCTCCATAAGTCTTACTTACTGAGATTGCTTTTTGGCGGGGGAAGGTGTTCTGAAATACTTTTTTTTTATCTAATCAACTCATAATGCAAAGTTTAAAATCTTGTCTTCCAACTTATTTTTGCATTTCATGTAAAAATGCCTTTAAAGAAAATTAGAATACCTATAGAACATGTTGAATTGCTATAAATAACCATATCTTCTTTGTGTTACATTCTGTGAACATCTACTTATGGATAAAGGTGGGCAGTCAAAAAATTCAACATTCATGTATGATTAAGGAGACATAAAAGGTCTCTTAAATGATTTTCTGAATATGTCAGACTTGGAGCTACTGTGTCAGTGATGTGCATTTACTTGCTTAAACTTGCATTTACTTTAAAAAACTTTTCTTTATTAGCCATATTAATGTCTACATTAGTTAGAATTGATGTCTTCATAATTGATTCTCTCCTTGCAATTAATTTATCAATGTCTTGAATTTTTTCTCTGGAGGCTGTCAGAGTTGTCTTATCTGTTAAAGATTTCTGTAGTGTGATTATTATAGGCTCTGAAATAGTTATGTCCTGTCATGCACAACATTTGACATCCCTAAGAAAAAATTATTTCTGTGTATTTATATGAACATTACTGGATTTCTTCTGTACATAAAAAATATATATTTTCTAAAAACTCTCAGTGTGCATAATTTTGAAGTTAATGTATTGATCCCCTTTTCCCCCAACCCCAAAATTCAAATATAATTTTGTGTATTTAAAATGCAAATTTATATTTGCATTTTAAATATGAATAAAATAATATAGCAATAAAATGCTAATTTTATAATAAATATAATAATCTAGCAATAAAATGCTAAAACATAAAAAATAAGTAGAAATTAATATATTTTGGATATTCAAGACAAGTTTAGGATTAAAGTTTTTTTAAGTAATAATGTTTTTTAAGCTTTTTAAGCTTAGTTTCCTTCCTTTTGAAATGAAGAAAAATGAAGATTCATCAAAGATAATATTATGGACAATGTATCTACATACAGATGTAGAAGTGACAGTGGTTGACAAGTCATATTGCTTTGCTACCTGCACAGGAGTATAGGTAGGTTTGAAAATGTTGTTAGATAATGAGGAATTGCAAGTATGTACAGTGAAAAAAAATGGCAAAAAATATTCAGACTCACAGTTCCTAGGGAGAACCTCTGACTAAAATGTATATCTATCTAACATAGAATAAAGAAAAATATCAGGAAAAGAAGGTCATTTGTACATTATAGTGCCTATGTTGAGTAAGAGTAAAGGAGAGATTATTTTTTCTTGCTTAGAGAACACCCTCACCAGAAAACAGTAAATTAGTTTAGTATTAATTTGGTTTGAATGTTCCTTTATGATTGGCTTGCTTGATAATGATACTCCAGTGAGGATAAGCTTGAATGCCTTTAAGAGGGAACCATGTTTCAATGAAAATAACTCTGGAAAGGTAATGAGCATTCAAACCTGCTGACATGTGCAAGAAAGATGAACTTCAGCAGCACTTCGAGTGGGAAGATGAGTATCACTGCTCCTTATGTCTGCTACCCTCCTTATATTTTTGGAGAGAAGTTCGCTTTTAACACGGAGCTGCAAACAACCCTGAAAATGAGCAGAGGGACGACGTTAGAAGTAGCAGCCCTTCCTACCATGCCGCATGGCTGGCCGGGCTGTTGATGAGGTGCTGCGCAAGGACAGGCCTCAGCGCGCACGTAACGTCGCGTCACATCACGTCCCGTCGGGCCGTGACGTTTTCAGAGCGCTGAGGCCTGCTGAGCGCTGCCAAGTTCTCAGAAGGGCTGTGGGCATGTCTGCTGTGCAGTAATGTTTTTGAAGGACAATTTAAAACCTCTTTAAAATTGCTATGAAATGGTCGTTTACGTAATTCAAATTACAGTTTTTTATCTCTTAATAAGCCAATCTGGAAGCCAAACTTGAAGATCCTGGTTGTGTTTTCTTCTTGAAGCTACATACGTGTTTTGAGTTGAAATGCCTGAGTTTTGGAATAAGACATTTCCTATAGATTATATGAGAGTGTGGTGTACAAATTATGGAGATATTTATGGGGATTTCTACTTATTGCCTGCTGTGCTCTGGGAAAAAGGGCCATGTCTTTATTAAATTCCAAAGTGGATAATCTGTGCCTCTCCGAGGACTAAGAATAGTTCTCATTGCAATCAGCAAGCACAGAGTGATCCAGTTCAATAGCTTCTGTAAGATCTTTAAAATACAATTATGAGTTGAAATTGATACCACAGTGAGGCTATTATATGTGAGCTGTACAGAAATTAGAGTAATCACCGGAGAATTCAGAATGAAATTCCTGCATCTTGTGTTTGGAATTTCTTCATTTACACTTACCTGTTTCTGATAGATGGGTCTGGAATATATTGAGTGATGTTTTCATGGTATCCCAAAGCAGCTAAAGAGCATTGAATTAAAACTTTATAATGAATTGATCAGTAGAAGATGTTGTTTCAATACAGTTCAGGTTTCTGATCATCATTAACTATCTCTACCACTATTTTGTTTTTCTTGTGGGAATGTGCCGCCTACCTGCCATTTTTTTCTGTGTGTCTAAGTGGAAAGTTTTACACATATTTATGTGAACTACATCTTATTTGAATTTAGTTCTCTGAAGCGAGTACTGAAGGTGTTAACTGTCTCACTTTTCATTTACAGTGAAAGAGGGAGAAATGTGGTATTATTTTAAATGCAATTAAGTTAGATAAGAATGTGAGAGATTAGGTAGGTGAGAGGCAGGTAGGTGAGAGACCACTTTTCTAAATGTTTGTGGTGTTGTGTGGACACAGACTAATTTTTCATATTTTGTATCTTCTGAGAAAAATAGCTAAATGAGAACATTATATAAGCAGAGTTGTTATGTTTTGATAGAAATCTGTGTGGGTTGATTATTTTTTAATTTGAAAAGTGCCTTATCAGAATGCTAATAGGCTGCATTCTGTCGCAAAGAATCCCAGAAATGGCTCTGCTGGCTGGATCATACGCACTAGGCAAAAATTTGTAATTTTCATCTCTTTCCAGATGTACCTTTTCTGCTGGATTTTTAGCCGTTGTGTAACAGTGTTTATTAGGTGACATACTTAAAAGGTGATCCGTGCCGCGTTTGGGTAGATGTCTTGCTTTTAAAATGTCCCTGTATCAGCAGTCTCTAGAGCGACAAATGGGGTTTCCAGCGCTGCTCTCCCCGGGCCTCCGCCTCGTGCCCTTCCCATTCCACCCGCGTGTGGTCGCGCAGCCGTTGGGTGAACGGTGGGGACGATGCCTTAAGGCTGCCCGTGGGGCCGGAGCTGCTCTGCAGAAACAGGAGCTCCGGGGCGCAGATCACCGCTGTTGTCAGCGTTTTGTGGTTAGTGCACGTTAGGTGTCCAGGATGGCAACCAGAGGCAGGAACATCGGCTTTGTTGCATTAGTTCAAATCACTGAGCTGTCAGCCAGCCTGTTTTCATATACAGCTGTCCTCTTATTTTCACGCTCCTCTGAAGTAAATATACTTAGTTACAGGCATTTCTTTGACACTCACTGTATTGTCTTTCAGAAAATTTAGAGCTGAATGTAAAAAGGATGTGCCAGATCTCTGGTCAAATTTTGAGGCATGCTGAGCACATTAGGAGAGCAAACAAGTTATTTCCTTTCAGACATAAAAACTCATCGAATCATGTTTTTCCAGTTGTGTTGATGGAGACATAGAATCGAGTGTTGTAAGATTATTGCCAGCTTTGTGCTTAGAGCACTTACTGAGCTCCCCTAGTTATGTCAGTGCGACGGGCTAGTTGTTACGGCAGTGAAAACCTTCAGCGAGGGGGATCTCAGGAATGGATCGATGTAGTTACCTTGCCGTCCCCCACAGCCACGTCAGGAGCTCCAGCCCGCGCTAGTGACAGCCTTCTGACCGTGCTGTGAAGTGAGCCCTACGCTCCCGGATAATACAAAGCCTGAATCTTCATGATCTAAAATGTTTCAAGATGTTGTTGTACAGTGTGAAAGACACAGTGTGGCAGTTACCAAGCACTTGGTTCCCAACATACTATGGATCGCTTCCTCACAACGTCATGGCCTTCTGTAAAACCCCATATGTTGAGTGATAGAAAATTGCCTTGTAGTTATGGTCAATGACCAAGACATCGAGGAACTACAAGGGAATATCCTTTGGTCTTCAAAATTGCGCTTTCCCTGTTCTTTATTTTTGCTCTCTTCTGATGTTAGTTTTGTATTTTCTTCTCTTCTTTCATATCTCTCGAGATTTTTGTCATTTTTTTTGCATTTATATAGTTACACTCAACCTTATGCTTTATATTGGCTGAGCAGGTTTAAGATGTAAATAATGCCAAGTGCTGCGTGGAGGCTGTAGCATCTTACCTGTGGGTACGTAACACACAGAGCAGCCTGAAGAAGCTGCCCAGTTGTTTAGACAACTACATTTCACAGACCTTTCAAATCCTTTTGCAGCAGAGAAGTAAAAGAGGAAATGAACTCAAAATCGTTTTCTCTAAACCACTGTGCATGTTGCATTCATCTCTATGGCAACTACACAAATCGATCTATCCTGGAGATTAATTTGAGGATATTTTTAATATGTCTCTTTAAATTTGGGTTTCTTATTGTAACTTGAATTAGTGTATTTCCTCAGGCCTTTCACTGGAGGAGTAACACTCATTGCCAAATTGAACTGCCATTTGAATGTGATTAAGTAAATCCACTGTATGGTACATTTAAAGTGCACGCCAGAACTTGGGAAGATGCGTGCAAGCAGAAAACTCCGGCTAACACGGACGGTGCTAAAATGTCCACACATGAGCTGGCTGGAGCAGCATTCTGCCCTTTGGGCGATCTGCAGCCAGGAGAGGAGCTATTCGTCCTACTTTTTTTTTTGCTCATGAGCATGAGAAATAAGCCTGCCTCGCTTTTCTATAGTGTGCAGATGCTTAAAAGCCAAAATTTACAAAAAGAAATTAGGCAGGAATGATTTTTTTTAATTCCACTTAATGCGAATCAGCTTGTAGCCAAAGAAGGTATTTGTACGGATGTGTCTGTCTGCCTAAAGAAGTTGGCCAAGAGAGAATATGTATTCCACAAAAAAAAAAAAAACATCTGGCTTATTTCATCGTTTCTGTCAGCCAGATGGTCTACACTAAGTAACAGTTGAGAAGAGTTTAGTTGTGTCTTTAAAAAATTCTAAAGAGAATTTTAGTTCATTTAAAGCTTATTTTTCTCTCTCTCTCTCTTTTATACCAATAATTTTGACTGTTTGTGAGGGAAGGGAGAGCAGAAGGGCTGGGGAGAGGCATGCTGTGATAGGGTGCAGTCAAGTCATTGCAAATGAGATTTTTTCCATGAAATGTTTATAAAGTGAGGAAGTGGGGAATTGAAATGTGAGTCTCATATTTCCTGACACTGTGATGTGACAAATAATAATCCATCTGATAATGGGGAAAATCTGTAGCAGGGAACAACATTCCTTTTTCTGTTAGATTTACACATCCAAAATTGTGCTGTGCTTGGGCTCTCACTGCTGGCATGAGTCATGGTTGATCAACAACATGGTTTAATGCCTTTGGTTATGCCCCTGCACCAGAAGAATCATGAAATACAGCAGTATTAAATAAACTCAGTGTTAAAGACTAGAATGTTGAGGAGTCACATCTGTTAAATCTTGTTGATTTTGCACTGAATTAATGCCAAAGTCAGGTATATAAATATGTCTTTTTTTTTTTTTAAGAAAGAATCCATCAAAGTCCGATGATCTAAGAATTGTGACAAAAATGATTTTAAAAAGTTGAAACAATGACAAAAGTACCTCACACTTCGGAAATAAATACTTTTTTTTGTATTGAGATAGTTTATGAGATCAGCATTGCTAGACTTCTGACTGCTGACTAAATTTGATGGGACTTCTTTCTCTTTGCTTTGTTTACAAGCTCATTGTATACATTTTTTAAAAAATTCGTTTCCTACAACCTTTTAAATGTTACTCAATCATGTTTTGCCTTGGTTAAACTTCTGTAATTTTAAGCGTCATCACTGCATGCATAGCAAATTTGCATGTTTGAGAAATGGCATTGCTTCTTTGAGGCACCCATATCATAAGTATATTTTCTGACAGCATGTTAGGTGCTGACCATTTGTTTCCTAGTTATTAAATAGCTCTTGTACCTGCCCACTGTGCTGCTAGATATGTGTTTTTTTCCCAAAAAGTGCACATTAATAGGAAGCTATGTGTCTATTTCAACAAAGTTCGTCTGCTGTATTTTGTATAGCAAGTACAAACTTGCAGTACAGCAATAGAGCAAGTAAAAACTTGCTCTACTGTTGTTTATCTGATGTTTTGATGTCCTGAAATATGTTGTGTTGGTCTTCAGTCCAAATTTCAAAAAAAAAAAAAAAAGGTTAAGGAAAAAAATTGTCACCATCTTCCTGTTATCTGTAAAATTTAAGAGTGATCAGAAAATATTTTTAATATTTTATTAAAAAGAAAAATAAATTTGTAGACTCCACATCAGGTGCAGTTATACAGACTTGTGTTTGTTACTGATGCCGTGCCAAGAGGTTGCCTAAGATCATGTTTTTTAATTTTTGCCCACAGGTGATAAATCCGATGGGATGGGATGCGTTTGGATTACCAGCAGAAAATGCTGCAGTTGAGCATGGACTACACCCTGCAAGCTGGACACAGAGGTAGTCTTTAATGGAGTTAAGTAATGACACGTTTCTGATTTGTGAATATCTGTGCTCTGCCTCCATTAAAAAAAAAAAAAAAACACTAGTGGAAGACAAAACAGGACAGAAAGAACGTGTGTGGTTTGCTAATGTTTTTTCGGACCATGCAGGTAGTTCAGTTTCAAAAACTTAATGTGTCAATGTGATTTTCAAGGTTTTCTCCTCTGATTAGTTTTCTCTTTTAAGAGAGTAGTGCATACCTTTTTTAAAAATAAAAAACAATTTCCAAACACCCAAGGGAGCAGGAAATAAATCAAGATTTTTTTTACCAGGAGTTAAATCTTAGTATAGCACCTATTAAAAAGAAAAAGGGAGGGTGGGATACAACAACACAGGAAGCAGCAGCAGCGGAGGATCAGTGCAGACTGTGCTCTGCGCCACACTCTTTTTATGACCCTGGCAAACTGCTCAGGGAGCTGCCAGGTGAAACAGGCTGAGTGGACCGGGCCGTTCGCTGCTGCACTGCCCGCTCTCCTCAGCCTCCGTTGGCTCTGCTTTTCTGTGGTGGGCTCATTCAACCCCTTAAAATGGCAGAACGTTTTTTTTCTGAGCTGGCAAGCTGAATCAGTTTGTGTTTTTCTATACACTTAAAACAGTGAGGTATAAGATGTTCTGTAGCAAAAGAAAATCCCACTACAAGCAAGTGCCTGGAAAATTTCCTTAATACTGAAAAGGCATTATTGGTAGACTATTTAAGTCTTAAAACTAGATATTCTAACAACAAAACTGTTTTCAGGCAGGTTAACGGATCACTACTGGGACTGCTTATAGTAGCATGCAAATAGAAAAGTTATTTATATGTCTTCTTTTTATTATACTTGTGATGGTAGATGACTCATCATACAGACAGATTAAATTCTGACCATTCAAGTATTTGTTGTATCTCATTTTCTCCTTTTCAACCCTGTCTTGAATGTTTGTCATGGCTGCAGTAGGGCAGACATGCACTGGCTTGTACGTGGAGCTGACAAGATGGTAGCCCAAAAAAATAAAATAAACCTGTACCAATATTATGTTTCTGTATTCTGGACTTGATGCTGTGATAGCTACATGATGTATGTTGTACCTGTGCCTGGAGCAGAGCTGGCCACCCCTATAAAAGGGGACACTGGGTAAACTTGTCAGCTAACCCAGCTAACCCAGTCCAGGAGTCAGCAGGCAAATTTCAGATCATCATCACGTCCTGAAGAGATTACTTGGAATGAACTTCAGTTGACTGCTACTTCTTACCTGAAAGTTAGGGAGAAAAAAAAAAAAGCCAAATTGACAAAAGAGAAGACAGTTACCTAAACAAAACACAGACATTTCTGATAGTAAAAAACTAGTTGGTATTTGGTTTTGATACATGTATATGTGTACAGATACACATATATATGTGTGTGTATTAAGCTTTTTTATATATATATAGTGACAGAAGCCTTGTAAAAATACATGCAAACTTGAAATGCTTCTGTTGGTACCGTGTGAGTGCAGGATGAATGGAAGCAGCTCTGCAGGAAGTGTGCTTGCTTCTGGCAGAAGCTGTGACTCCCTAAGAGGATTTCCGGGGCTACCTTTGTTGCTAAAACTCTGCTGTTAAACCTTTTGGATGAAACCAGAGCTCTGCAGGCACAGCAATACTGGGAGCAGGGGATATTGTGCCCAGGGAAATCGTTGCTGCATCTGAAAACTGCCTCCCAAAATGCTCAGGTGACTGAACGGCTGCCATAGTCGAAGTGTGGGCTCTGCAGAAGTCAAGTGTAGCTGTCACTGCTGCCTTCTGGCCTCGAGAGCTTCGTTGTTTCATGGAGCCGCACGCTGAGAGATGTCTCAAATGGTTCCTCTGGGAGATGCTATTGCTGGGGACTGGGAAGAGACTGTAGCAGGATAGGGTGGCTGGGACAGACTCATAAGCTGATCATGAAGGTACATCCCAGCATGTCGTGAAGTTTTCTTAGCACCCTTTGGCTCTCTTGTAGTAAAGGTAGTTGCAAATAATGAAAAGTGATGTTTCAGGGCACATTTTCCTCAACCAAAAGTGCTGTATTTGCTTTTCAGTTATACTGTAAGAGGGAAAAAAATAATCGTCTTGTATATCCAGTTGGGTTTGTGAGGGTTCATGAGAGAGTTTTAAAATGAGTCTAAGATAAATATTGTTCTTGGAGGCGTTCTTGGAGATTGACTGTTAGTGAGACTGTAGGATTTAGAGGTTAACTAGTGCTCTTGATTTTTGAGAACTGTACAGACACCTGATTGTAAATATGACCACGTGATGATAATCTTTTCAAGTGACTCAATTTTTTTTTTGTTCTCTTACAGTAATATTGAACACATGAGGAAACAGTTTGATGCACTAGGTCTGTCTTTTACATGGGAAAGGGTAAGATCTTCTCTTTTAAGAAAGGCTTTCTCCTTTTATTCTTTGATGGAAATCAGGGATTTTTTTTCTTTTTAGATGTGGCAATATAGAAAGCTTTGAAAGTGGATGATTTAAATTGTTAATTTGCAAAAATACACTTGGAAAGAAGTGGGCAATGTAATTATTCTTCATTTTTGGCGTACTTATGGACATGATCTGATAATTTCAGCATTTAGGATCTTTCTTTCTTTAAAATAGTTTTGTTTTTTCAATTGGACTTTTCTGTCTGTCCTTTTCAGCTCTTCGAAAGTAGCATCTTCTCTCTCCAAATTCAGGTGTTCTTATTGACAGCTGCTTATGAAGGGTGCCTTTGTGTTAAAGTGTGTGTATTTTGAGGAGTGCTTTTGTCAGTATGTACGTTTGTACTATACTCAGAAGCTTAAAGCCAGCAACTTTAAGGCTGGTTTGGTTATATTATTTTAAATCTGAAAGGCAGAACTGCATTTTCATATCTGTTTTTGTCATAAACACTTTGGAAACTAGGTATTTTATTTAAAACTCAAATTCTTGAGAATAGGTTGTTCACCTTGAAAACCTTGCTAATACAATCAACCATAAGCCATGTAGTTTTCAAGGCAAAAATGAAAGAAATCAATTTTTTGCAGCAGTTGTTCGGTAGCGCTGTTGCACGTACAGGCGAGTCAAAGTCATTCCCTAACTTAGCATTCACAGTGATAATCATTACTTACCATTCTAATATGATTCTGCATAGAGTGATTGGGATCCTTGTGGTGGAATTTTACAGCAATATTGTAGGTCTGAAAATAAAACGAATTCATTTTCTGGCAGTCTGAGACCTGCCATCTGTTTTCCTTAATCTGTTGTTTATATGCATGTCTTGCGTCTAAAAAGTGTACTTTGTCATGTCATATATATGACGAGATTTTCAGTCAGCCCTTTTAGTAAGATTTCAGTTTTCTTGATAACTGAAGAGTTGCTCTGAAATTAAAAGGGTGGCGGTGGAAGGTTCGCTCCATGCTTTTTTCGCAGTAGTTTTCTTATATTTTTCAACATTTGCATCCAGAGAACTGGCAGTGTTGAAAACCACAAGGAGAACTATAGGCATATGGGGAAATGCTGTCTGTCATCTTTGTGGCTGTTTTGGGGGGCTTACCTTGACTTTCCTAGCAAAGCATGTTTCACTTGGTGAACTTTGGGAAGTCCCTGAGTCCTTGTGGGAAGGCTATTGATACTCTGCAGCAAAGTCCATTTGAATGGTTCTGCAATTAAAAAAAATTGCAGTGCAAAGTGGCTCAGTTTGTGTTTTTGAAAGGTAAGCTCTAAAACAGTGAGGAGGTGTTACTTGAAGCTCAGTACGTTTTGGCTGATTGTAGCTTAGTTTTATTTAGCTCATGTTACTGCTCTGCGAGGTGGTTAACTGAAGTGAGGGTGACCTGAATGGCAGCCTTAAGAAACAGAGATATGTTTGCTTGATGCAAATATTGTGTGATGTCTGAAATACACGTTTTACGTGACCTCTAAACGCACGAGTATTTGAGCAGTTAGCTGAGCAGAGTGGGTTTTCCAGGCCGATAAAGGCAACTTCTCTGCAGGGCTAGTCAGGCTGGGCAGAGCTTCTTCCTGTCAGGCATCTCTGCACAGTGCTGCACTGCACTGTGCAGGGACTTTTGTGAAAAAGAGAGCTCTTGAGGTTTCTTTATTTTTAATTATTGTTTTTATTCTGTACTTGTGCGCCACGAAATTGGTGGCTTATTGAATGCTGTGATAATGCAAACATTAACCCCAACAGCACTGTAGTGACTCCTATGAAAAATCACAGAAAAAGGCCTTCTGTTGTGCGTTAGTTCCAATAACCAAACCTGTTGTACAAAATAGGAGTTTGGTTTTAACCAGATTTCGCTGGTATTGCCTAAGCGTGCTGCTTCATTTTTTTCTGGGTGTGATATCTTGCAAATATGTGCTGGAGAAATCCATTCTTCTACCTCAGATTTCTATTTCCATGCGAGGTGAAGCACTTTTCTAAAGTGCTAGTCTTTTATGTTAACTATCAGGGAATCCTACATGTTCAGCTTAGACTAAAATGACGAACTAAAAGTGTACTCACATGCGTAAGCTAGCTCTCTTAAGTTTGCCTTAGAGTAGGTTTGAATACTAATGGTGATGTCCTTTTTTCCTGTATGTCTAGGTATTTTCAGTGTCTTGAATAGTTAATATTGAGTTTACAGAACACTTTGAAAAGGGCATGATTTAAGGGAAAAGAAGAGGATTTGAAAAAAAAATACTAGGTAAGAGGTAGGATATTTCTGTTCTGTAAATGCAAGTGAACATTTCTGTGACTGTCAGATCTAGATTTAAAAAGCTGCAGTAAGAAGAGAGAGAAAATGTTTCTGATAGACATTAAAATCACTTTAAAAGTCAAAAAATGTTATGTTTTATTTTTAAGGTAGTAGTAATTCGAGGATTCCTGGTGATGTGATTTCTCTTAAGTACCATCCCAGACAGCATAGCAAACTGCCTGCCATTTCTTTTAAACATTATATTCAGGGGAATAGGGCAATATAATTCTTCTTATAGATTCTTATCATCAGCACCAAGGTAGAGGGTAACCATTTTATTTTGTTTTGCTCAATTCTGCCATCAGACTGAATGCATGTTCCTAATGAGGCACCAGGTCACTATTAAGCACATTATCTGGCTGTAAAGGTAGCACTCATGGCCTGTGTTTTTCACAGTCTTTGTATTATTCATTCCAAACTAGGTAATTTTTGGATAAAATTAATGTTCCTTTTCTACACCGTACATAAAAATTAGTGAAATCTTTTAGATACTTTTTTGTGCAGATGCTCTTCTGTATGGTTTGAAGCTGCTGTTCTTGTGCAGGGCCTGAGGAATTGTGAAGATATAACAACGGACCACTTATAACCACTTAAGGAATTGTGAAGATATAACAACGGACAGAGCACTAGCTGTTAAAATTTCTTCTCCAGCCACTTACCACTTATAATCACTCACACTGCTTGTAATGGAACAAAAAAAAAAAGGAAACTATTGATATGGCTACTGTTCTGCAGCAAAAAATGTTCTGCAGTGTAATAAGCACTGCATGTTTGTATATGTAGCTAATAACGCATGAAGCTCTTGAGTGCATTTTAAATAGAAAAAGTATTCAAATGAATTGTAGTTCAGTCTAGGCCTAGATCTCTGTGAAAATCTGATCATTTTACTTTCAGGTTAGGTGGTGCATGCCCTGTAATACCAAAATAGTCAAATAGTATGTTTAATTTTCCCAAATAGTTTTGAAAAGAATCCTCTCAGACTGTCCTTTTCACCTTCTTACCTTTTTAGTTCCAAGTGCAATGTGGCTGTCTTTAGTATAGTACCGGAGTGTGCTAGAAATAAAACGACTACTAATAAACTAAGAAATGACTTCTGTCTAGTCGTTACTTGTTATTCACAAAACTTAGTGGATATTACAACAGATAGAAGCTTTTATGCTGGCTGTGAGTATTATTTATTAAAATGATAACAGTGGAAGTAGTTTTGAGATACAACGCTTGGCTTAAAAAAATAGTTTTAGGTTCACAGTAAATAGTAGAAAGTTGTAGATCATACATAGACTAGTAATACATATAAATAGTACATGTAATAGTAGAAAATAGTAGGTGGAGTACGTTGAATAATTGATTATAAAAGAAGATACTGAAAAAAATTTTTTTTCTTTTATTTATGAAGAGAATCTTTCATCCAGAATTTTGTTTGTAGGATTTAGGTTGGGCTTCTCCTTCTTTTTCTTACCTAGTATTTGTCTTTTTTCCGCATTTTTCATATTGAGATACAGTTTAATCTTATCACAAACCGGTTGCTTTCCAAGTTACCCCACTCTCAAATCTAAGTTGTAATACTGCTAATTAATTTGTAACTGAGACCTTATCTGCAAAAAAAAAAAAGCCCTTTTAATCAGCCCTTAAGTAATTGGCTTGTAGCGCTAACCCCTGCGTCACACTGAGTAGGAGCAGACACGCTGTGCTGAGGCAGAGGGCTCGAGCACAGAGATTTTGGGGATGATCTTGGCAATATCCACTGCTTTGAAAAGTAGCCCACTTTTTAAGTGGTTTGTTTTGATAATGTCATTCCTGTAGGAGTAAGGAAGAATAACAGTAATCAATGATGAAGAGGCATTTTGGTGACAGCAAGAGTTTCTTGATTTTTTTTTTAATTAGCAAGCTGACAAAAAGAAAAGGGTGGGAAGGAGAGGAGCGGGGAAGCTTTCATTCCTGTTTCCTAATACCTCTGCAATACTCTGGTGATGGCTTGTCACAAAATCTGTCACAGATCACCAAAGAATGCCAGCAAGGGACAGCTGGGCAGCATACTTTATAAGAAAGGGTTCTTTTTTTAATATATATTTTATCTTAGAAGGAAATACGGTAGAATCCTGATTATGTGTCCCCTGACCTGCTTTGTGATGTGGGTGCTAGTGCTCGGCAGAATGTTACGTGATTTGGAAGGCTGGAAGGGTTTCTTCATGGCATTTAGCAAAGCCTTTCTATGAGCACTTCTCTGGCTTTCTGAGTCAAGGCAGTTCTGGTAATGTGCTGCGAATCTTTGTAATGCTGATAAAGTGCATGGAGAACTCTAGCATTCACTTAAATGGTTGCAACTTAATGGAAATTAGTTTAGTCTCAAATATTATTTACTAAATAATGATCAGAACTAAGTAAAAAAATTGAAGTTTGTGGTTGACCAGAGATTGTTGCTTGTCGTCCTCAGAAATCTCCTTATTTCCTTCTCTTTACACTTGGTGGTGATGTCATTTCTCTTTCTGTTTTAACCGTCGTCTGTAACTTAAAGCCTTCCTGATTATAAAGTTAAATTTAAGTGATGAGCCTGAGTGATCTTTTCTTGCAGTTTAGTGACTGCCGAGCAAGTTTTCCTCAATGTATCTTGTGCTGCATTTCTTTCTGGGAAGGTTGTCAATCTGCGACTCGAGGGAGCATGTACATGAGGTCTCGTTCCCAGTTATTAGTTTGCACCACATCCTAGACATACGTGTTTCACAATCTTAAATGCCATCCCTACTGTTTCAGCTAACACACATTTGCCATTCTAGACCAAATGGACAAATCTCAGTCCATTTTACTCTTTTTGACAGCTCCCTTCTCTTATCTGTTTGCCTGTTGTTCACCTGGTCTTGCACTGTGCCACAAGAGATCCCTGCTCTTTTGTACCTCTGACATGACCTAAGTGGTGAAACTCCGTTGCCATTAGTGGCATCCTGCTGGCAGAAGAACTGGTGTCACTGTGTGGAGATGCAGGCAAAAAAGGGGTTTTTTTTTTTTTTTTTTTTTTTTTTTAGAGTAAGTGGATAATGTTTAGTTGGAGAGATGGAAATCAGACTTTTATCAAGTGTTCTCTTCAGTGCAGAGCACAGGGATTTAATCAAGGAACTGCTTTTCAGGGCTAAATCTTTGCATGCTGTGCTGAAAACTTGCTGTTAAGTGTCTCTGGTCTTGAAAGCCTCTTACACTCACTTTTGAGGTGCATATATTCAAAGGTCATATTAATTGTTCAAAGCAGCATTTCAGCACTAGAATATAAAGCTGTAGAAAAAAAAGGAATACAATTTTTGTGCTAAAGTATTTCAAATGTCTTTGAGTAACAGATGATGCTGCGAATATCTGTGCCACAGACATAGTGGAAAGCTCAGATGATGGGAAAGCCTGGGTGAAAAAGGCATTTCACGCTTGGAAGCTATTTCAGGGGGTGGATCAAATTTGTTCAGTTTGCAAATAGCTGTCAGTGGCTGACTGTCAACCCTGTAATTCTGAAATCAAGATATATTCTTGGTGATTTAAGGTCCAGTCATACACTTCAGCAAGTACAAACGTAGTTATAGAGGAAATATGTAGAAAAGTATCTTCTTGAAACAAGGGCAAGTTAAATAAGAAAGTTAATGACAAGCAAATGTGATTCATTTATTGTTACACATAATGCAATCAAAGTTTAAATACTGAGTTACACAGTTGTTTTCATTTTGGTCAAGCTTTAAACTGCCTGGCTGGGAGTGTATGTGCATCCACTGCACCTGTTAAACTCCACATTTGTGCAGAGGAAAACTGAGAGTCTGTAACCGTATAATCCTTTAGTCATCTTCACATAACAACATGTTTATTTGAAATGTAGGCTTTGGGGTCTCCCTTTAAAGAACAAATACTTTAAAATATGTAACTTTATAACCAATTGACCATTTTATTATTTTTACTTTACAGTACTGTCCTGCATCAGGAGACTGATTAATAACTCCTATTAGTTTTGTTTATAGGAAATACACTGGGGTCAGGTTTTCCCATTGCAAACAATATGTTTCTAGAACTATGTTCTAGCATATCTGCAATTTCGAAAGTATATTACTTTAAACATGGACCAATTCTTAATGAGGAAACTTTCAGAGTTCATAATAAGGCAGCTGCTTTTTAATTAGTAGAATTCATTAAAAATCTGTTCTCCTCACTCCAATTCTACATTTTTGTGTCATCTCTTCATTTTTATCTGTTAGCAATCCTCCACGCTTGTGACTTCTTTAGTGACTCACCAAAGTCACTTTGGTGACTGCCAGTCAACACCCTCAGCCGCTCAGGCTCTTCCCTTATCTTTCTATATTCTCAGGTTCAGCTGCAGATTCCTTCAGTCTGTTCCCTCTGCAGCCAGCTCTGAGCGAACAATCTCTGTTCCTGCCCTTTTACTGAGCGAGAGCTGTGGTCACTCACATTCTTTTTGTACTCTCGTATCTACCAGCATTGTTATTGCAGGGGGATTTTATTCCGTGTTAAAAGGAAAACTTTGCTTTGCATGTTGTGCACAAAGCCAGAGTCCTCTGTTTTTGTGGACGTGGGAATACCACTCAAAATAACATTACTCAAAGATACCTTTATATCGGGCTGCTGGTTTTGTTTCTACCATATTCCGTGCACTCCTGAGTTAGTTACTTAAGTTGTAAGATAGTAAGAATAGTTTCATGTATTTTTATTTCATTTCTCTAGGAAGTGACCACTTGCTTACCAGAGTACTATAAATGGACACAGTACCTCTTTCTTAAGCTTTTTGAAGCTGGGTTAGCTTACCAAAAGGAGGTAGGTACAAGCTTTGACTTGTAACACTATGCATGTACACTGATGTTATCTCAAGTCTCTCATTGTGTCAATAACATATTCCTGAAACATCTGTTCACATTCTTTAAGTGGATAGCTATTTTTGCTGCTATACTTGGTTTTAAATTACTGCAAAATATATTGAATTTTATCTAAAACTAAATTTTGTATGTAACTGTCTAACATCAATGACATCATATAGCAAGTCAAATCACATTTATTTGTTCTCTGGTTTACACTAAAGTGCTGGATAAGAACATAGCTACTGTTAATTTATTTCATGGCTTTCATATCAAAATCTTCTATCTCTTAACTTCCCTGTAGTGCAGACATGAAAGAGTTCTGTTGATTCTAACATGATCATGATAAGTCTCTTCAGCAATGAGATTATTTTACTTTATTTCAGTACTATGACTAAGTCAAAGCCATTAGGATGAGGAGCTGGAGATTATGTCCCTCAGCATGGAATTCCTGGAACCCATTTGTGGTCTCTAAAATATTATAGAAATATTGGATGCTGTAAGATTATCACAGTTTTTCCTTTAGCTGTACACCTAGAAACTCCTCACCTCATGGTATTTTTTAAGTAACATATACCATGCTTTCTGAAAAGGTAAGAGTTCTGTTAACTTCTTATGTGGGAGGTAAAACAAAGGTGTTAAACTAACATTCCACAGAACTCTTTGCAATTCAGTCCCAAATACCTAAACAGCTGCATATAAACAAAGCTGCAATTTAATGTATATCCCTAACTTAAAATGGAAACTAAGATTTCTTAAATGTGCTTTTCAGTTTCATGCCATCTCACAGAAACCAGAAAACCCGATAGAATATAATTAGGGATATAGAACCCAGAGAAAGATGTTGATGCTCAAACATAGCATGTGGAAAGCACAGTGTTACTAAACTGCCCTTCTACTTCTATATATTCATAGATCCTAAATGACAGCTACCAAAATGATTTGGTATTTGATATACCCTAACTTGTTACAGGGCTTTTTTTTTCTTTTTCTTTTTTTTTTACTTTTTCTTTTTTTTTTTTTGTAATTTTGTTTCCAAATTATAATGAAGAATTTAGCCCTTAGTTTTGCCATAACAGACTTATTTTGTAGACTTATTAATAAAACAGACTTATTATATGTAGATTTGTTTGCTATAAGGTTAATTCCAGGTGAATCTCAGAAGCCTGAGGTTTGCTGTCTCAGAAGTACTCATGGTGTATACATTTTTTTGCAAGCTGGCTCCCAGCACTGTGGGATCCTGAATGTGCCTGGGTGTTAATGATTGGATGTGCTTCCCTCTAAGAGTCAAGGATCAGTTTGAGGACTTAAATCAGCATCTGCCAACCTGCAGGGGATGTCACGTCTGGTGGATATTAACTAGCTGCTCCTTGGCAAGAAACAGATGGCAGAGAGACAGCATGTAAGCCTGGGTCTCGTCAAATTGACACAGATGCTTAAAACATGTATTTATCCCAAGTCTCCAGCATGCCTGCAGTATACATTAAGCAGTCTTGCTGCACAGCCTGAAGTGCCTATATTACCATTTCCTTCCAGGTACAAGAAGAAAATTTATAGCTTTCCTGTGGCAATAAGGATGATACATGCAGAGCATGAGTGTAATTCATGTTTTGTTCTGGGAATGTGCCTGTCTGGCTAGAAATTACCCTGTTAAGGAGACACAGATTCCGTATGTCTGGGAGCTGGAGCTAGCGTACCACAGCTCCCATAGATGGTGCTTCTTTACTCGCTGCTGCAAAACCCTCTCTCTCTGTTTTGCGATACAGAACGAGTCTGAATACTGTACAGGTGATCGACCTGGCCAAATGTCACTGTCTCATTTAGACTGAGATAAATTGCTGTCTATAAAGCAAACAAAAAGGTAAAAGAATAGTCCCCTACCCTGGGGATAGATATGTATGCTATAGACCCCTTAAGCTACGTAAGACAAATCCCATTTTAAAAGCATGAAGCCTTCACTGGCCTTGGAGCAGATCTACATAACTGATGTGCTATATGCAGTGCTGCACTGTGCTTTCTCTGAGCAGGTGAAAATGGCTTCTAGGGACCACAGTTTAGGAGGCTGTCACTGGCAAGAGGTTGCCCATGAGGTACAAATAGGAACTGAGGTTCAAATTTAATTTGATTCTGGATTCTGGATATTAGTCAAAATCTGTGGGAGATGGAAGGGACAAAGTACAGCTTTAAAAATCCACTAACATGACATTTCAGCTATGGACTTCTTACCTGTGTGTTTACATTTTCATCACTTAGATACGTTTACCTGTTGTAATTTACATGAATATGTTGCACTAAGTAATTGTTATGATATAAAATCACTTTCCACATTTTTCTTCATAAATTTGACCCAATACCATCAAAAAAGGGAAATGATTATTTCTTCTCATTCTTTCTCTAGTCAATCCAATACAAGTCAATTCAGTTCAAGTGATCATTTCTGTTGCTTTGATATTTTTTTCTTTCTTTCTTTCTTTTTTAATTTCTGCTCGTTTTTTTTCAAGTTAACATCTGTCACTGGCATGAGTTTTTCACTACTTTTTCTCACTACCTTCTTCCACTACCTTCTTTTGTATCTTGCATTCTTTATGATAAATGATGAGCTAATTTTTTCAATATTGGGTGAAGGTGGGTTTGGCTTTTGTTTCCACCCAGGACGGTATGTCTGTATTTCAGTTCCTCCTCAAATACAGTTTGTAAAGTTGAACATAGTCATATATTTGACTGGTTTTTTTAGATGTTTATATTGATAACTGATAGGGAGCATAATTGCAAAAGTGATTTACAGAATTGTTTAAACAATAGGAAGAAAATGCTAACTTCCTCACTTGGAAGATAGTCCAATATAATTTTTTTATGTGATTCTGTCCATTGGGGTTGGAGATCCTCAGTTATACATGCCGTTTAATGACCCTCAACACTTTTGGATCAGTGGTGGACAATTGCAAATCATCAGACCGTGTAGATATGCAGTACAGTTCATGTGAACAATGCTCAGAGATGTTCTCACTTATCACTGAATATAAAAGTGTTAATCTGTTCTGCTAATGTGATCATCCAGATAAATGCTGTCAGCATTTTGGGGTTTTTGAGTTGTGAGAAGATGAACATTCAAAACATCTGAGCTGAGTCCATGTTGCTGATTCAAATGGACATTAACAAAACACAGAAAACTTGAGAGCTCAAGGAATAGTTCTTGTGGTGCCTGAAAAGTAAGATTTAATTTGTGAAATAGCTGTTGAAAATATTTTTTTCTTTTTGCAACATTTTTAGGCATTGGTTAACTGGGATCCAGTGGATCAGACCGTTCTAGCTAATGAACAGGTGGATGACAAAGGTTGCTCATGGCGTTCAGGAGCAAAAGTGGAACAGAAGTACCTCAAGCAGTGGTTTATCAAAACTACTGCCTATGCAAAGGTAGGAGAATACAATTTTTGGAGATTATGGTAATAGTTAAAGAGGCAACTTATCTGGAAATATTTGTAAAGCTGAATGTGGTCTTTTTAATATATACATATATATGCATATACATGCATGATTGTGTGTGGCATAAAATATATGTCCTGCCTGTGTGCATATGTGAATATATAGAGAAAAAAGTGATCATCCCTTAGTCTTTCTGTTCATTCTCTGTAGTATGAATTTTAAGTAATTGATGTGGGACTAAGTTTTGAAGAAATTTAAAAGTAAAATTGGAGATGACTGAATGAAAGACTTTTGCATTCGTATACTGTCACCTCATATTTCCCTCCCAGTGCTTGTCTGTATAATATTGCAAGTGTGTAGCTGGGAAGTCTTTTGAAGTACAGTGCAATGCAGTCTTCATCTAGAGTTCAACATGTGTGTGAGCCAGTCATGCTTTGAGATTAACTGGTCTTTATTCAGGATTTCTCTGGAATTTCTATTTTACTTCATTTTTTATTTTACTTTGGTGATCTGTAAGCTTAGAGTTTTCATTTCATCTCAGTGTTCCAGGTATTAGGGCTTAAAATACTAATTGAGAAAATTATTCCCAAGAATGTGTTAAAAATTCTTCCTCTTTTACCCCTTCCCTGAGCCTCAGATTCAAGAGACTTCATCCAGGGGAGAAGAAATCCAGAGAAGAATTCATGATTCATGCATAATCAAGAGGAAAAACCTTACTTTTTTTGGTCAGCTACTTTGATCCCTCATACACGAAGAGGATACCAAAGGCATGTGTGCTTTCTCTGGTTGCATTACCTGTTCTTATGGCAAGGGAGAAATGTTTGCTTTAGCTGTACAGAAAATTAAGCATGTCTACACCACACAAAGTGATCACAAAGTCCTGAGCTTTTCCGTGGTGCCTTTATTATGGCAGAATAGTTGGGGTTTGAATAGACATCTGGAGTTCTTCTGGTTCAAGCCCCCTGCTCGAGCAGAGTCAGCAATGGCATGTTGCACAGGACCATGGCCAGTTGGGTTTTGAATATCTCCAAGGACTGGAGACTCCACAACTTTTATGGTCAACCTGTTCCATTGTTCAACCATCCTCACAAGTGTTTCCATGTGTTCAGATGGAACTTCAGATGGAACTCGGCTATCACTGAGTATTACTGAGATAAGTCTGGCCCTGTCCTTTTTGCATCCTTCCTTCAGATGTTTATAAACAAAGATAAAATACCCTGAGACTTATTTTTTTCTTCAGGTTAAGCAGCCCCCGCTCTCATAGTTTCTGCTCATCTGAGAAATGCTCCAGTCTACTAATGATCTTTCTGGTCCTTTGCTGGACTTATTCCAGTAAATCCATGTCTTCTGTATAATGGGGAGCCCAGAGCTAGATGCAGTTCTCCAGATGTGGCCTCACTGGACTGAGCAGAGAGGAAGGGTCACCTCCCTTGACCTGCGGGCCACACTCTGCCTAATGCAGCCACGATGCCTTTGGCCTTCTTTGCCTCAAGGGTGCACTGCTGGTCTGTGTTTGACTTGCCCGCCAGCCTCCCCAGCTTCTTTTCTGCAGAGCTGCTCTCTAGTGGCGCATCTGTCAGACCGTACTGGTTCATGGGGTTATTCCTGCTCAGGTGCAGGGCTTCGCACTTCTGAGTTTCCTCTCTGCCCATTTCTCCAGCCTGTCGAGGTCCCTCTGAATAGCAGGGACCTCATCATGTTTCATCATTACCCTTGTGATATTCCAGAGTCTGCCCCAACTCACTCCTCCTCACGGGCTGGAGCTTCACTGGAGTTTCTCCAGCCTGTCGAGGTCCCTCTGAATAGCAGGGACCTCATCATGTTTCATCATTACCCTTGTGATATTCCAGAGTCCGCCCCAACTCACTCCTCCTCCTCACGGGCTGGAGCGTCACTGGAGTTGGTACCTTAGCTTTTACATCTTCTGTCTATTGCTTTTATGGAGGTTGTACTCCTATTGCAGACTGCATCCCTACTGACACCAAATCACTGCATATCTGTACCTGTCTGAGAGGGGTGAATTAGCCTTGAATTCCTATTCTTGAAGACCAAAAGACAAGACACAGGGGCTTTTCAGTAGCCTCAAGAACACATTTGGGTTACAGGATAATTGCCACTTACTCAAAACCCATCCTTCTGCTCTAGAAAGAAGGATACATTTTTTGTCTTTAGATTCTCTGGCCTAAGAAATGTAAAGAATTACAGGAAAGGCACCGGGCCATGGATTATCAGGTCTTCACAGTGCCATTCCTCAAGTGGGCTCATTGCTCTGAAGCATCAGATGGTTCTTGTTCTACAGTGGGTTTCCATTTGGAGCCAAACTTTTGTCCAGAAGGTGTTGGTGTGTCTGCAACATTCCTGAAGGAAGATGTCACCCCAAGAGGATGCCATGTACTCTACTTAAAAATTACTGCAGAGGACAATGGCTACTCTACTGATCTCTATAAAGAACTCTACAAATCTTTATGAAAGTTTCCCAAATGTTTGCTCTGAGCTTGATTAATATTCTCTAGGGTCTGTGCTAGCTCATACAACCAGGCCAATGAATGCTGCTGCACTGATTCCAGCTCAAGTGTTTTGGCAAGCGTCGCCTAAATGTGCTCCCATTTCTCAGCGTAATAACAGATGCTACCAAGTATTAGCAGGTGGTTTGGATTTTCCTTTTTGCTCACCCTCCACTGACTCCCCTTTTTGCTGCTCTTGTTCTGGCACATTTTAAACAGTCTCACTCTGCTTTTTTTTTTTTTTTCCTTTGGCAGAGAATTTAAACATTTGGTTGTAGAGAGGAAAAAATACTGGGATTTGTTTTCCTTTTTTTTTTTTTTTTGAGGTGAGAGGGTGGTGCAAGCTTTCCTATAAGAATAGCATATTACAAAGTTCTGCTATTTCAAATCTAATATTTGGTATTAGATAGATTTCATGCTTTGGAAAATGAATAAATTATTTTGGGCACTTATATTTTTCTTTCAAGTTTCAGGAGGCTAGAGGTGTTATGATAATGCTGTAATGTTCATTCCAAAGAAGACTGTTTTGGCCACAAGCTGCCTCTGAAGATTTCCCCTCACACAGAGTGCGAGTCTCTGAGCTAACAACTAGAGAAGAACTTCAGTCTTTTAAAGGCTCAAGACCCATGCTGACAGAACCAGGAAGCTCCACAATAACATCTTAAAAGAAGCTAGTTAAGATCTATGTCTTAAATGCTGGTTTCCCCATTTACAACTTTGCTCCTTGTCTCTGAATACCTTGAATCATTATTCCCCAAAACTCATCTCTGCACACATCTCTTTATTTGCAGCTCACAGTTGTCACTGCCATACCTTCAAAGGCATTACAGCAAGAGACATGAGTCCTTGCTTCTGAATCTCTGTTTTACGTGCTGTTTCTCTGGATTCAGGCTGCTGGTGGTTGACTGAACCTTTGCCTTTCTGCACAATGTGGTGTTGAATGCCGTGCTCACTGCGATCACTCTGCCTAACCTATTCCTCAACCCCCCTTCAATAGCTCTTTTCAAGAGCCCTTTCCTGAAGACCATTATTTAGCCTTTCATTTTGGTGTATCACTCAAAATCTTTCATCCTGGTTCCAGATTTCACGGGACTAGTCCTAATATAGCAGGTATGGAAGACAGAGACATCCCTTTGACTTAGGGAAGTTAACCATTGTTAATCACTAATATAATTTTAGGATGGTAACATTAGCAGTGACAGTGATGATTGCTTACACACAGACTCCTGGCAATGGGAAATCTGAGGGAGCATAATAAAGATTATCTTCAGTAGGACTGGAGATTTTATTCCCTGTTTCTTTGACAGCTGCATCTTCTGTCCAGTCCTGCTGCTTTCCAGGATGTCCAGAAAGGTACAGTGCAGGATGGTCCCTGACTGAACGGACAGAGTCACTCTAATCCAAAGACCTGTGTTTTCTGTCAGTGGAGGAAGGCAGCATTTTTGAGCAACACTGTCAGAACTCATATCAGTACTCACCTGCTCCTTTGCTTCCTGTATCTCACAGCCTGGAGATATTCATGGGAACCGAGCAGATTTATTCCTTCCTTGGGTGAGATGGTCTTATTAGCATTGGGAAAAGGTAAAGAGCAAAGTAAATCAGGTTTTAAGTTGTAGAGCTGTATCTCTGTTACGCAGTGAAATTTCACTACTTTTCATTCTGAAATTTTGGAATGAAAGCCAATAATTGATTATCTGGTAGTATTTTAAACTTTACATCTTTTGGGCAGATTTGTATTTTTTCCTTGCTTTGACTTACAGGGTTAGTACTCTAGGTATTCTCTGCTTCTTCCCCTCACCTTTTTCCAGTGAGGCCTTAATTTTGTTTTGGTATCATAGGAAAGTTATCTGATCATGGGTGCTGTGTTTCTCTTGCATATTGGAAGGTGATTATTATTTTTTCTGGAAAGATTACAGAAATCAAGGATCAAATGTTAAAAAATCCACTTTCCTTGAACTTATGCTGTGATGACACACTCTGCAAATCTGCTTCACATTTCTTCCAAATGTTATCCCTGAGTTTTGCTTGAATTGGCACATTAGGAAATCATGTTGAATAAAGCTTTGTTTCTGGAAAGTATCTCTCCTGTCTAGGTAAGAGGAATATGAGAGATGTTCATTTTGTAACCATTTTTCATGGTTTCAAGGAAAGGTTTCAACCTTTCATAGATAAGGATCCATTTAAAGCACATTTAATGAATCTGCTATCCCTCAATTCTCTCTTTATACACACACACATATGTGCACACATGTAGGTATATATACAATTTATTTCCTGCTTGGAGAATCCACAAATTGTTGTTGTAAATATACATACACAACATATTTATATTGTTTATTGATCATCTTTCTAACCGTTTGTATTCTTCCCTTACACCATTATCTCTTTCCGTTGCCTTCTGTACCTCTCATCACTTTAAAAACAAATACTAGTAAAGGCAATCTGCACCTGTATGCTGTATGTTACCTATCAAACAGCAACAAGCAG